TCACATTTTCCAGTTAGCTGAACAATGGCATTTGTGTGCGTGTATATGTATGTGTTATATATAATATATATATATATATATATATATATATATATATATATATATATATATATATATATATATATATATCGTGCCGAATAGGCAGAACTTGCGATCTTGGCAAATAGCAACGCTCATCTTGCCATATAGGACAAGTGAAAATTTGTGTATGCAATAATTTCGCCATAATCATTCTGAACCTAACGAAAAAAAATATGATTGTTTGCTTAGTATTAAATTACTGTAAACGCATTTAAAACATATTTAGTTGGGTTAGGCTAAAATAAATTGCGCTTGTTATAATAAGGTTAGGTAAGTTTTCTAAGATTCTTTTGGTGCAAAATTAAAAACTTTTACATTAACATTAATTTAAAAAATATATCTTTAAACGTATAAGTGAAATTTTTAGAAAGGATTTAATTTTAAATGAGCTCTTCCTAATTGACCAGTTTTACATATTCGACACACACACACACACACACACACACACACACACACACACACACACACACACACACACACACACACACACACACACACACACACACACACACACACACATACATACATACATACATATATATATATATATATATATATATATATATATATATATATATATATATATATATATATAAATGTGTGAGCTCCCACCTGGTGGTTTAAAACATGTGTGAGTACCATGGTATGTGATGGGCAGTACACACGTCATCACTAAATAATGTATTGTATAAACAATGAACTCTTGTGCATTGCTGACAGAAGTACCTCCCTGTAAGATCCGGTTTCCTTTAAGTGCTAGATCCTGTCAGTCTAATGCTGATATCCGGCCAGCGTAAGCTCTGTTAGCTGGCATTAACATTGAATCCGACCATTGCGCTAATAGCTTGTGTAGTTGAAGCACCTAAAAGCTATCCAAGAATTTACTTCCCTATCCACGACACCAGTCAAACCCAGCCCCTTCCACTCAGTAAACTCAAGTTTGTGGTGCTCTTATGTTTCTTTCCACGAAGATGCAGTTTCGGAGACTTCAGTGTGAGGGGGTGGCGTGGGAATTCTGGAGTAGCAGAGTTGGTGTAAGTGTTGTGGTGGTAGGTACAGTTTAACCTCGTGTGACTGAAGGTGCCTCACCCCAACTCACATATAATGTACACCCCTTCTCTCTTACCTCCCCAGCTCTTCGCACTACTAGTGCGCACCCACCTGCTCGTGTTCCCAGTACCCCCACACCCACCCCCACCCACACAAACACATTACATTTACACACGTCTGTTGGATCCTGACTCACACCTGCCCCACGAGGTGGTCTGCTTCTCTATCTTCCCACCTACACCCCTTCCCAATGAGGTAAGCACATTTTTGTGACCCCCTTGCCTCTTGTGTGCGCGTACTCGCCTATTTGTGGTTGTAGGGGTCGATTCTCATCCTGGCCCCCTACCTCTTGACTTGCCATTCTCCATATTCACTCCCTCTTACCCTCGTGAACTCTTATCATACCTGCTTTGAAAACTATATGAAACGTGCCTCTACCATTTCCTCAAATATCATTCCACTTCCCGACCACTAAGACGATGAAATACTTTTTTTTTTTTTTTTTTTTTTTTAACTTCCAGTGGTGGTCCTGTTTCTCGCCTCTCAAACAGCCTATCCCTATCTACCGTACCAATTCCCTTGAGTACTTTGTATGTTATCAAGTCTCCCTGGTTCTATCAAATGTCGCTAGGTCCAGTTTCGATAGCCTCTCATAGGTTATGATGTCCCTTAGCTCAGGAACAAGCCTTGTTGAATTCTCCTGCATTCTTAACAATTGAACATGCTTTTTCAGGTGCGGGTTGCATACTAGTGATGCATACTCCAAGATGGACCTTAGTCGCATACTCCAAGATGGACCTTAGTCTTAGTTTTGCAAGACGAGCATGCTCTGTAGAGGTTATTCGGCTGATGTAAGCTGGCGATGTACTGGACACTATGCTCACCCCTAGAGCTAGTTAAGTGAAGTCAGCATCCTGTCCCCCTAGTCTATACCCCGTTTCCGGTCTTCGTGCTCCTTCCCCAAAATTCACGACCTTGCATTTACTGGGGTTGAATTCAGACAACCACTTATCCGACTAATCTTGCAATTTGGGGCCTTTTCCTCTCGTCTGTTATTATTCTCATTGAGTTTTCCATGAGGTACGTTTATTGTCTTCTCTGAGGATGAGGGTCCCCATTGCAGCTATAGAGGTGGTACTATAATATATATATATATATATATATATATATATATATATATATATATATATATATATATATATATATATATATATATATATATATTATATATATATATATATATATATATAATTATTAATCCCATCTGGAATGTCTATTCACATCAACCAGAAACAGTACTGGTTCAAATACTGATTCTTGCTAACTTCTGTAATTACTCTTCCGCATTCTGACGTCTCTTTCCTGACAGTCGCCCTTTGCAGTACGTTCCCTGTTATCTCCGCTTGAATCTCATGGTTTTTGCCGCATTCTCAGGTGGGATACAGTGTCATATGTCTTCGTGTGTAAGTGTAATTACCTACTGTCCAGTTGTAGCTACCGGAGCAGAGCAATTGTAGGTCTGATGTTTCAGGTTTGAACCTACGGACGCTGTCAACCAGTCAGAGCGCGTCTGGTGTTTTATAGCACCGGGTAAAATAATTAAATTAAATGTTAGACCATCTTTTTAAATACTGTATTAAGTTGAGAACTGATTTCCAGGCTTCTCTGACGCTTAGGGATCAGTGAAGCGCTTGACTTGATCCTCCTCCTTACCATACCAGTGAGTAAAGCATCTTGACTTGGCTATGGCATCGAATAAATACTAAAGTATTTTTGTTCTAATATTCACTTGAAAACTGATCTCCAGGTGCACGTGTACGCAGTAAGTATGACCAGAGTAAGCAAATAACCCACGTCAGGGTGAAGATACAGTTTGAGGCCTTTTGATTCCTAAAAGGAATCTGTCAGTCTGAAGAGCCAGGTAATTAGTGGGACTAGATAGGTGTTGTATAATCCCTACAGGGTTAGCGCTCCCTCTATAATAATAATAGTGGGAATAGGTAAATCAATATTTACTAAACTTGGAGGGGAAATATGTACAATATAAGATATTAGTGATATCACCTACGACTACACTGCTTCGATAACTGAAAAGTCTTGGGAAATAACTCGTAGCTAGTCTCCGGGTTTGGCGATAGTAAATTGGAATTCGTTAACGACTGATTAAAAACCAACTCAGGCAGGCAAACGGAAATAGAAATGCTAACGGGAAGAGTTAGGGGCAAGGAGGTAGACTGAATTTTACTCATAATACCTTCGTCTAAATTGTATTTTGCCTAGATTAAGAAAATATGTACTCCCCGATTAATTATTTTATATTGCAAGCATTTCAACTGACAGATCATGCTTGGGCCCAGGAATGGATGAACACTATCAAATATAATTATCATTTATTATATATATAATTAACGTATGAACAGATGTTCATACATTAGACGGATTTATAAATTACTGGGTTGGACACTTCTTAAGAGTTGTGGAACGTAGTGTTGGGTGTGGGTAGTGTCTGGGTGGTCTGTTTAGTGTCCCAAACCACTTAGCAGGTAGTGACGCGGGTTCCTAATCAGCCAAGGATGGATGATGGTGGTGGCTCTTGGGCTGGGGAGGTGGGGAAGCAACTCCAGGAGGATGCATATTTATCATGCATCATTATTGCGGGAAACAACATAGATAGAATTTATTCACTAGGTCCTATATTTTATCACTCTTATTACATCCTAAACATATTTCTAAAAAAAAATCGTAGTTAGTGAGAGGGAGGGTTTGTCATGACTCACGAAATCGTAATGACACGATTGCAAACAAACCATACTACGGGTGGGGTTAGAACCCGCGACGGTATGGAGTTTTGAGAATGATCGCGAGTTCTTACCCCACCCGTGGTATGGTTTGATTGCTTGTCATCATTCTCACGATTAATATTTTATATACAATAATTAAAAATATTAGGCAAGACTTCATAGGCATGGATGATTTCATATATATAAAATTTTACTTATAGTATTAAAGTTTGGTTAGGTTAGTACGACACATAGCGTACCAAATCAACGATAAAGGAACTAGTGTGAGGTGATGAAGATAACTGAGGTTAGGCTCCACTCCGTTATTTGTATGGTACAACTGGAAAAAAAAAGTGAAGTTGGTGGTAGTCAACCTGCCAAGGTGGTGTTTATTGGAAAAGGTAAGAATGGTTTATTTTGCTCTAAAAATACAAGGATTAAGGTAATTTTTTTAGTGATTTTTTTATTTAATTATATACCTTTTGTACCCTGTGGGACATGAGGCAAATAGGTAAAATTACTCTAAACATTAATGAACTTGTAGGTTTCAAAACTAATACTGCTGTATTTTAGTGACAGCCTAACAGAATGGGGTTTGGAAGGGAAATATATATTTATAGATTAAGACCATGGTTAATTATTCATAACGGAGCTGGTGTTAATACAGTGGTAAGCTCAACATGGACACTTGATGCCTACATCTTTGCTGCCTCTGGGGGGTACTGGAATGCTGTATAACATGTGTGAAAAAAAAAATGTACAACATTCTGGAGTTTACTTCTCAGTAGACAAGATATAACTGTCTCCATTGCACAAGTCACTTGATATTGGAAAATTTGCCAAATAGGTTAATCCTAAGCATAAAATCAAGCCTCTACACTCAATATTAACAGATGTATTACTCCAGGGATTTTTTTTTTGGGGGGGGGAGAAAGGGGTGAGGGTATTACCTATTAAATGTTATTAGTGATATACTACAGTAGTATTTGTTTTATGTATTTTATTTCTAGTTTTTTGTTATCACCATTACCATTATCTTATGCATCAGTATCATTACTAAATTAATTGAAGCTGAATTTTTTTCCTTAGGTGCTTTGAGGAGAAAGGATGCCAGGACAATGCCCAAGGTGCCAGAAGGCAGTGTACTTTGCTGAGGAGAAAATTGTTCTGGGACGCCCGTACCATAAGATGTGCATCAAGTGTGGTTAGTTAATTTGTATTATCAAAATTAAATACCCATTGTGTAGCTACCCTGATCTATATGTATGACATTTTGCAAGGTTATAACAAGAACTAACTATGCTTATATAACACACCCATCATGTAAGATGTCTACCCGAAGGTTACCCAAGATGAATTCAGGGGTCACCACCCATGTAATTACCTATTTTTACCTATTGTAATTACAGTACCTTCTTCAGCATTTCTCCATTCATATACAGTATTTAAGTAATTTTACATTTTAGTAAAGTAGTATAAGAGTTTCTCTCAATTTTGTTTGATCTGGTAACTTTTTAGTATAGTACTGTACAGTATATGCTTTAAAACTTCATGTTAAATAATTTTATTATTATTACATATATAGTATTATGTTTGAAAAGTATTTTGTTCAACAGCCAACTGCAACAAACTACTTGACAGCAGCACATTCACTGAGCATGACGAGGAGATGTACTGTAAGAGTTGCTATGGCCGTCTTTTTGGCCCAAAAGGCTATGGCTATGGGGTTGGTGCAGGGGTTCTTTCTATGGATGATGGCACAAAGTATGAGGTTTGTATTGTATTACTGCTGTACATATTTGCTATGTACAATGAAGTACAGTGGACCCCCAGTTAACAATATTTTTTTCACTCCAGAAGTATGTTCAGGTGCCAGTACTGACAGAATTTGTTCCCATAAGGAATATTGTGAAGTAGATTAGTCCATTTCAGACCCCCAAACATACACGTACAAACGCACTTACATAAATACACTTACATAATTGGTCGCATTCAGAGGTGATCGTTATGCGGGGGTCCACTGTATTCTGTAACAAATCTTTATACACAAGGTATGCTTTATATTTCTTTTTTTTTTTAATTTACAGTACATGTACGTGGTAGACATCTTTGATTATTACATTGTGTATAAAATCATTATAAATTACATAATTTTTCTTTCAGATATGATCAGATGAAAAATAAGTTCTCCTTATTTAAATACGTTGGGCCACAAAGGCTATGTTAACTGTTTCATATAAAGGTGAATTCACAGTTGTTTGGAATATGACCTGGGGTAGTGCATGCTTTATCAAATGAAGCATAAAGAAGCAGTGTTTTGTAACTGTTATAGGTATTATTATTGTATTTTTATATTAAAAATGGTAAATGTGTCTGGGGTCTTAAATTATCATTGTTAAATGATAAGCCGAATGCAACCTGGAGTATTATTTGTTAATTGTTTTCATTATTATATATTCATGTAAATTACTTAATCCATGAGGATTTTTCTAGCTCTACTTGTATTTTTAGTCATATGAATATGTATTTGCTTTTTTTTTTTTTTTTTTTTTTTTTTTTTTTTTTTTTTTTTTTTTTTTTTTTTTTGTCTGTTTAGTGTATTGGCTTTTTTAGATTGTGCTTTAATAAAGTCTTATTGTTCCATTTAATTTTTTCCAGAATGGTCCTCCCAAGAGCAATATCCCAGCAACCATGGAAGCTTATGTAGCACCCCTGAAGGAGCCAGCACCAGCAGTCAAACCAGTGCGACCCAAGTGGGGAGGTGCTGACTACTGTGTCAGATGTTGTAAGTTATAATTTTGCTTTGTAACAACTTATTTTTAATGTCAGTCACTGTATATGTAATATGTAATCAACTGTGTTAAATGTGATCTTATTTTTTTTATAATTGCTGGTTGATGACTGAATTCACTCGACTAAATTTGCTGTGCAGTCACTGTCCTTCCTGCCTCAAACTCAAGTCTTGCTTGATAGTTTCAGTGAAACCTTTCATGTTATGTGGGACATGGATCTATTGGCTGTCACATCAGTTACACATACTTAAACAAGCATTATCATAAATACTAGAACTTTATTATTGCAAACAAATTCACCTGTAGTACAGTGGACCCCCGGTTTACGATATTATTTCATTCCAGAAGTATGTTCAGGTGCCAGTACTGACCGAATTTGTTCCCATAAGGAATATTGTGAATTAGATTAGTCCATTTCAGACCCCCAAACATAGACATACAAACGCACTTACATAAATACACTTACAAGGCCTGGTCTCAGACCGGGCCGCGGGGGCGTTGACCCCCGGAACTCTCTCCAGGTAAACTCCAGGTAACATAATTGGTCGCATTGGGAGCTGATCGTAAACCGGGGGTCCACTGTACATATATCACTGCATTCTCTTTGTTGAAATTATGTGAAAATTTTATCATACCACTGTCTTATTTCATTGTAATTAATATACTATTTGAAAAAAAAAAGTGTTTTCATAGTACATGTACTTTTTAACCTCTTTGTAATTTTTTTTTTTTTTTTTTTTTTTTTTTTACACATCAGCCATTTCCCACCAAGGCAGGGTGACCCAAAAAGAAAGAAAAAACTTTCATTATCATTCAACACTTTAACCGTCACTCATACATAATCACTGTCTTTGCAGAGGCGTTCAGATACGACAGTTTAGAAGTCCCTCCAAACTGCCAATATCCCAAACCCCTCCTTTAAAGTGCAGGCATTGTACTTCCCATTTCCAGGATTAATAAATAAAAAATAAATCGAGTGGCATTAATACGTCATGTGGAGAGGAAGACTAAATCCATAGGGAGCCAGAGGAATGCAAGGCATTCAGGTTTGATCCAAGGAAGGGGAGGTCAGGTTCACTTCCTTGAATCAAGAGCCCCTTATGAATGTCAAGGAGCCTCATTTTCTAATTACTAATGTGATGTTTCCATATTTGTTTTTAGCAAAGCAGGTGTTCATGGCAGAACGGAAAATGGCAGCAGGAGGTGCATGGCACAAGGCATGTTTCAATTGTCGTGAGTGCCACAAGTGCCTTGATTCTCATTCCATTCGTGAACGAGAGCAAGATATCTACTGTAATCGTAAGTTTTCTTCTATAATTTTTTTACATTTTTATATTCTCTTTTGCAGGTGCTTTAACTTGATATTTTTTTTGTTCCTGCATAAGTTTGAAAGATTTGAGGGGGGGGTGGGCAAAGAGATTCTGGGTTATGAAACGTCTGTGTTGCTTGACAGATTATGACTGGTAAAATAGTGACATAAATAATTTATGTATTTTAAAATTATTTTGCAAACATGTTTTGATGAAGGAAAAAAAGTAAAAGGTCCATGCAAAGCACAATGATTGAAGTTCAAGGAAGGATTACAAAATTTAGCAAAATTAAAGTAAAATTTTTCCTGAATGTAGAATTGGAGAGATTAAGAGATTAGTCAATTAAGATTAGAGAAATTCTTGTGGTAGTATTGCTAGACATGTGGGGACATCACAATACAGATACCCTTCTACTGCTACATCTTCTCCTTTCCCTTCATAGTGTAGGCACTGCCCTTCCCACTTCTAGGACTCGAGTCTGGCTAACTGGTTTACCAGAATTCCTTAATGTGTGTTACCTTGCTCACACCAACAGTGTTCATTAAAATCCACTTACGTCCATAAATTTCTATCTAACATTCTTGTACAAGCCTGCAGACAAATTTGGGAGGGTATGTGACATAAGGAAATTTTAAGTGAATACAGAAAAGAGCAAGGAGATAATTATGGGTAACAAAAAGTCTAGGCAGTGATTATGTTGAATATCAGATTGGAGGGAGGGAGTATGGGAGAAGTAGATATATTTAAATATTTGAAAGTGGACATGTTAGATGGTTATGTGAAAAAAAAAATGAACAGTAGGGAGGGCAGGGGAGGGGGCAGGGGGATGTGAGTGATGTGTTAAAGCATCTGTGGAAATAAAGTGTATATATGGAGCAAAATATTTGGAATGAATCAGAGTATAGCAGTACCAACACCTATATGGGTGTAAGGCATGGGTTTTGAGTGTTGCAGAAAGGATGTGCCTAGAGGCAGTATAGATGTTATGTTTGAGAGTATAGTGTATTTCATGCATAGTGTAGAAATTAAGGTAATGTGGGGTCACCAAGGTTATAATTCAGGGCTGAAGAGGGGTTGTTGAGGTGGTTCAGGCATGAAGAGGAGGATAACTAAGAAGTATAAATCTGGTGTGGAAGAAAACAGTTTGGGGGGGGGGGTAAGAGAGACTTTGAGTTTTAGGTGCTTGAGCTTCCAGAAAGTGTATATGAGCACATTAGGAGTGAATGGAAACAAGTGGATTTTAATGGACGTGCTGGTGAAGTGTGAACAAAGTAACTTTAATGAAAAGGTTTGGGAACTTCAGTTTACCAAACACAAGTCCTGGAGGTGCGAAGGGTATTGCCTGCACTTCGGATAGGTGGGAATATTGCAATAGGAGGTTAATATTAATTGTAATGTCAGCACACTACTATCAGGAGGGCAGCTGAATAAATGATGGTGAATGTGTGTTCTTTCAACCCCCTCCCTCCCCTGCCTTGGAAGGATATGACAGTGCATTTGAGATAAAAAAAAATAACATTCATATAGTATATTGTAGATTTTAAAAGGATAAATTTGATATTCTTCATAAATGACTTTTCTTTCAATCAGCATGCTACGGCAAGAACTTCGGACCCAAAGGATACTGGGGATGGTCATCTGCTAAAGTGTCATAAATATTGACACGAGTCCTCTTGGCACATTGATCTGGACTCATTTCATCATTATCTGTTCAAGCACCTAGTTTAGATCTCTATAATTTAGAAGGTTCACATTTGTCATATTCAAAAATATTTTAATCATTAGTATGATAATGAATTATAGTACATGTACTGTATATATGTAAGGTGTTGTGAAACAAAAACTGATATACAAATAATATGATAAGTTTATTATTAATACAATAAGCTGGAAATTTCATTAATATTGAATTATTAATGAAATTAAGTAAGCTAATTGCTATTCACTGATTGTTAAAAAATATATATATAAGTATATTTTTGAAACTAAAGTATACCTGTCAGTACTATGGAACTGGTATACCCAGTGAATTCACACTTTCCATTATATTTCTTTCATGCTGTCTTCAGAGCATCAGGCACAAGATTCTCATTGTGATATTTTGAGTGCACTATCAAGGAACGTAATTATTTCTTTAATTACTAACATATCATTTAATATCTACTATTTTTGGTGTTCTTGATTTACTTTTTTTTATTGTCATAGTAATAAACAAAGGTACATTTAAACATGTAATGTAAAAACAGTTGATGAAACATGCTCATAGCCAAATAAAATGCATTTTGCAGCCACTTTCTGCAGCAAGTAATTCAAGCCTTTCAAAAAGTATTACAAAATGTTTTAGTTATGAAGAACAAAACTTAGTATACTATAGATCAATTGAACCAATAAATCATGTAATACTTTTTTTCCTCTATGTGGCATGGAGGCAAAAATCTGGCTTTGTGATGATTTTCAGTCAGTTTTTCTATTGTGGCTTGTTTGTGATTATAGAACTAGATGATATTGATCTGGATGTTGTTAATTTAAATTGATTGGTTAGCTCTCTGAATGGAATATTTCATGTTAACAATAGTGTTTTCTTGTTCCCAAAGCATTACTGCCACCCTCTTGCAAAATTGTGTTGAAGGATGCTACATACTAGTTTCTAGTAAAAATTGTTGACAATGTATCTTCTCAGAAACATAATTAAGATATTAAATTACTGTCATCTAGTATGACTGAATAGCGGATGTTTTTGAAAAAAATTATTGTAGGGAAAATTTAACATTGAATGATATTAAGCAACATGTCTGTGAATAAGACTTTATCACATAGATCCTAGGGATAGCATAAGCAGCAACAAATCTTTGAGATAACCTAAATTACCTATAGGTAAGTCACTTGCTCTGAAGATTGCAGTGACTTTACTGATGATGGCTACAAGAAACGATATAAAAAAAAAAAATTGGCAATGCACAAAGATATTCCATGTTCTCACATAATTGATGCTGACTGAAAAGTATTTTGTAGAATAGATAAACTGTCATCATTTAGAAATTGTATCTTAATAATTAAGTAAAAAGGAAATGGTCACCAGCATTAGAATGTTGAAAATATAAAATTGATGTAATTCTAATTTTTTTTCCCTTCCACGAACTGGCCAAATACCACCAAGGCAGGGTGACCTAAAAAGAAAAACAAAAGTTTTTAATCATTTTATTGTAATATAATATACTGTTCAACAATATTAACTATTTTTTCAGCACATTTTTATTTCTTAAACATTCCATTTTATGAAACTATTTCAGTCAAAAATTTATTAATAATTCATTGGTTTATCTGATTAATTCTGAATAAATTTACTTTGCATTCATACAGTTATTGCAGATAGTGATGCTAAAGGTTAGTGAAGATGACATTGAGCTGCAAATATGCAAACTTTGCTTTAGCAGTTTTTCAATGCCTTTTCCTTAATAAAGTTCAATGAATGATAATTTTCTGTACATGAAGATATTGAAATAAATAAAAAATTTGGATAAATTTTAATAAAAAGGCATGTTAGAAAAACTTGCATATCTATACTAATGACATGTATGCACTGCATTTCTATATCCATATCCCCCTCCCCCCCATATTAGTTGTATCGTTATTAGCATTTTCAGATGTCCTGTGTTCATTTTCCTTTTGTATCCACAAAAATGTTCATACTGATCTTCACTTAGTTGATTTTAAACTAAATAGTATATTTTCTGTAAAACTAACTTGTATAATATAAAATTGTGTAAATATTTAAGGTTTAAACTGAATTTATTCTGGCACACTGATCTGTAAAATATCCACCATTTTGCTTAAATGTCATTCCCCATGGGATTTCATATGAAGTTAAAAGGTAATATAGTATTCTATACTAGTGTAATTCCCATTAAAGGCTAGTAATTTGGCTTTAGCATAGTCTACAGAATGTTTTTCTACATTGTACTTAAAATGATCCATTTAATTTACACCAGTAACTTTATATTTAAGGTATCTTTCCTACAGTATAAAAGGGCACAGAATTAAGGTACTGTGAAAACAATTAAAATGTTGAAAGTTTTGACATTCAATTTTATTAAGTTTTGGTTAAATCATTAAAATTTCAAGGTGTATAATTAAGCATTGTACTGGTATATTGCTATGTTATGCACTCAGTGCAAGACTAGCAAAAATAAGATGTATTTGAAATAAATTCTCCAATATTTTAAAGAAATTTTCTTACCCCTTCTCCCCCACACACACACTTTTTTTTTTTTTGTGTGTGTGTGTGTGTGTGTGTATGACAAAAAGTAATAAGTCGCATTTTATGGCTATTTTGCTTATCAATTAGTGATAATTGTCCTGTGCCAGGGATGCTGCATTCAAGACTTCACTGAAAGCTACCCATGTTCTCAATGAATGGCAATCCTTGAAGATGGAACTTTCAATATTAACTCATTTGAATCAATCTGCTCATCTGTCCTGTATGCTTTATTGATAGGTTAAGCAAGCATTAGAGGAAAATCATTCTTCTGATTGTGGCAGCTACAAGGCTATTATAGTTCCTTGCATATATATATCCCTTCTTTACCTCTTAGGCTGAGTACCCCCACACTCCATCCTACCCTGGGAAAGGCACAGCCTCACTACTCTGGTGCTAGATTTCTAAAAGACGGAAAAGCAATCACTAATGTAACCCAAGTTAACTTGCTATAAAATGCATTCCTTGCCAATTATTCTACAACTTACAGAAGATAAAAAAAAATTCCAGATATGACCTTGTATGATTTCAATTATATATGATTGCATGTACATTAATGACAAAAGTAAATTTCCTTTGGTCCTGTCAAATTTAATAAAAGATAGTGTTAGGTTTGTAGATGAATGGTTCAGAGAACCGACATGTTGATAAATTAGACACATGTGCAACTCTTGGGTATCTTTATTGAGGAAACGTTTCGCCACACAGTGGCTTCATCAGTCCATACATAGGAGAAACTTGAAGAACAGGAGGAGAATGAGGTAATCAGTCCCTCAACCTTGAGTCGATGTGTTCAGTCCATCAATCTTGAGTAGAATACGGCAGATGAGCGGAGAAGCAGCTTATAAACCGTATGGCAGGAGAGGTGTAGCAGTCATAGGTAGTGTCACATTTGTTCAATGTGGAAGTAGGTTGTGCCCAAGAATTAGGCAAGTGAAGAATTCCTAAGTATTAAGATCCCAAGAAGTTGGTCCTGTCAAATTTAATTATTATCATAGTGTTAGGTAAAATATTAAGTTAAAACAATAATTATAATATGTCAGACTTGCATCATTAGTGTTAACTGCATGTAGAGCATACTTCAGCACTGAATTTCCCATACAGGTTAAGCACTTTTGTGAAAATAACAGTAATGTAAATATACCAACACTTAAATGTAGGTACCCGTAGTTAAAGCATAATTGCAACTGGTGGTGTTCACCAGATGACTAATCCTAATATAAAAAATAAAAGTTGTTAGCCATATACAATTTTAATTACAAGAAAAATGAGGTAAATAAATGCCTCTACATATGCACAATGTTTATATATTTGCTGTACATTTCTTATAGTACACTGTATAGTATGACGTATAAACCATATACTACAATACCTTCAAATTTAAAGTGGAAATTTTACACTCTGGTACCAATTAAATAGTGCTGTTTGGAACTAAAAAAATAAATTGGAAACATTCAGCATAAGAAAAACAGTAGGGTAAGCCTAAGGGGCTCTCCATAAATATACAACTGACTGATTTGATGAAAATTCTATACATTGCTGTTGGATTACCTTACAGACTATAAAACTACCACAATCAGGCAAATAATGCTGAAGTTGTATATTTTAAACAAAATCTACCTAATTTCATGCTATAATCCCTAACATTTAGGCCAAAAATGAATACTCAAACTTTAACTTTGCTATGTAGCATCACGGATTATATATAAATATTAACAAGGATTTATTAGTGTATTGTTCATATCGTATTATACAGTGGACCCCCGCATAACGATCACCTCCGAATGCGACCAATTATGTAAGTGTATTTATGTAAGTGCGTTTGTACGTGTATGTTTGGGGGTCTGAAATGGACTAATCTACTTCACAATATTCCTTATGGGAACAAATTCGGTCAGTACTGGCACCTGAACATACTTCTGGAGTGAAAAAATATCGTTAACCGGGGGTCCACTGTATAAAATACTATACGATTGTTTTGACTCTCAAACTCTTAATTTTTAATTCCATCAAATATTTATAAATGTGTTTGGTCTCTCTAGCTCTCTTCTACTCACTCACACTCTTCGAAACCAGCACCATATTTGCATTGTCTAGAACAGGGGTTCCCAAAACCCTTAGGTCACAAATATTTTTCTTGGCATGAAGCCATCAGAATTTATTTTTGGTGGTAAAAGAGAACTTCATTCTAAGGTTGAGTTTTATTCTATACAACTAATGCCTGATCATAAAAGACTGTCATTTTCAAGTGTGGTTGTAATAACTTTCAAGCTGAAAGGGATCATTATTTAATAAAAGGTTGCGAACCCTCTGGTGAACCTGGAATATAAAAGTTACTACACGATCAGGCCTGATTACACTCGGGTAGTGGTACAATTGTCTCAGTAAGGAAGAAGCTGAATTATTGAGCATCTACTGTAACTGCAATATTAAAGTTTATTTATTGGTACACTGTATATTTATATACACTACATGTACATCTGTGGTGTGTAAACCTGGAAATAAAATTTTACAATTTTGTAATATAGAGCTTTACAAGCTAACTTTCAAACTGAGATGGAAACTCGACACAAGATAAGACACCATCACAGTGAGCAGTCATTACAGTTGTGAGGTAATGTCTTTTCTCTTCTCCACCGAGAATGCCAAACTCTGCCACAATTTCTTCTGTCCTCACACAATGCCAGCCTTCATCATCCACCTTTCTGTTGTATTCCAGTGACAATCTATCCAATACCTGGAAACCAAAATGTTATTAAAATAATACTAATGTTGAACAATCGCTGGGCCGCGGGGGCGTTGACCCCCAAAACCCTCTCCAGGTATCGATCAAGTGTAACAATACAAACCTAGTGTATACATCTTAGGATCACCTCACCCTACCTTGGTGGGAATCAAACAACAAAGTTGATTATAATATTATTAAGTGCTAAACTCATAAGGATCATACAATGCTGTGGGAAGGGATGTGTAAAGGCTAAGTGAATGAGAGGTAGGGAAGCGTAAAGTTAGGAGTTAGCTGGAGTGGGTATTTCTATGAGACATATTTTTTCAAAATATCTACATATAGGTAAAATAATCAGGTTGACAAACAAAATACAAAATCTTACCATTTCAGGTTCATGTATTAAAGCAATGTTGTGTAGAATGCATGAACCCCTCACTAACTTGCTGCTTTTCTCTATGTGGCGGTCTAACTGTTGCATACGCTTAAATCTTGACTTGAATAAAGCCATAGCATTAGCTGTCAACTTCAGAGCTTCTCTGTGATTGTCATTAAACAATGCCTCCTACAGAAAGAAAATTATTATCTATAGCACTTTAATTACAAAAATCCTTCATACACTGCAGCTAAGTTTACTACTGCTGATCAATGTTTTAGCTTTAAATCTCTCATTTGCACATTACAAGGATTCCACAACAAAAAAAAAAAATCATTTATGCAAGTGAATATTTGATATAATCCCCAACAAACCGTAGAATGTATTGAATTACATTATGGGCAAGGGTGCTCAGTGATTCCTGAGGGGCCTGCCAAGTCAGCTGATGGTATCAATAAACACTGCTCATTCTTTGGTTAGAGTATGAATGTGAGGTGACAAGTGATTTAAAAAGACAGGTATAACAAAAAAGAAACCTTTTGCTATTATAATGATTTATCTGTTGGAGGCTTTATCAAGAATGTACAGAAAAAAAGCAAAGCATTGATATACAGTAGACAGTGCTGAAAGGCAGTCACATCAGGTACCAGGCAAAGATGAGGTCGATACACAGGTGCCAGGCAACACTCAAGTCACCTGCCAAATCAGTCTAGACTCCCTCCAACTTAAACATGAAACAGATTCTGTCAGCAAATTCTAGCTGTGTTACCTGTTTATTCTTTACCTAGATTCTCGTACATAAAGAAAAAATCAGTACTTCTCCATGTTATGCGTAAGAAAAAGAAACATCACCTTACCTGGTAAGATAATATTTTATTCATATGTGGTGTCATGATTGCAGGTGCTAGGGGATATACAGCTGGGGCAACAACATGTGTTTCTGAGCTTGTAAGATTTTGCAAAAAAAGCCATGCACCTGATTCCTAGAAGATAAAGGGAAAGCTAGATTAAACACTTTAAATCTACATATATTACCAAAAGTCCTCTATAGGATAAGTAGTAGGCCGGTCAGTTGGGAAATTCTACCATTACAATCAGTGAAAAGTAGTCCAATCCTCCACTGGTATCTTTTATCTAAGACTAAACAGCAAAAAGTCCTTTTATGACTTTTTACTTCAAATTTTTAACTTAGTACAGTTTTTAATTCCCAAATGTACAACGTGTCAATTTCTTTGCAAGCACAGTTAAGCCTGGGGGGGTTAATTCTGCATCTGATTTGTTCTGTTCACATTCACAATGGTCCTCAAGGAGAATTCACCCAGCTAATATATTTTCACTTCTTAATATAACAACTAAGTATAAGATTAATGTAGCCTTCCATTAAAATTAGCCAAGGCACTGAAAATTATAAACTGCTGTAATGCTGTGTTATCCCTTGATATACCTTGTTGGTAGCCATTCCCTCTCTCCCTCCATGTATCTTTCTGTCAGATACTGCTATGATTCGAACATAGCACTGAATGTATATAACTAATCTTATATAATGTCAGAGCAGCAAATTCACAGCATGTACCTGCATTGTGTATCTGATGCAGAAAGCTATGATTCTCCTTACCCTTTTCTTCCTCTCTTCTTTCCTCCCACTCTCCCTCTTTCCTTTCTAATAAATAGCCTGTGTCTTGCAGTACATTAACTCCTCATTTAACATCATCAATAAGTTCTTGGAAACTGCAATTTTAAGTGAAACAATGTATAACAAAACCAATTTTACCATAGGCTAATTGATATTACCAAGAGTTAAGTTCCTACAGCATATTTCTGGTCACAAAAACATCACCAAACTTCTAAATAAACACCCAAAACACTTAGTATTAAACACTGAAATAAATGAGGGCAGAAGTTAGTGGTTACAGGAGGGTGGGTGCAGGAGGAAAGAGGAGTGATTGGTGGAATGATGAAGTAAAGGGTGCGATAAAAAAGAAAAAGATAGCTTATGAGAGGTTTTTACAAAGCAGAAGTGTTATAAGAAGAGCAGAGTATATGGAGAGTAAAAGAAAGGTGAAGAGAGTGCAGATGATAGAGTGGGAGAGGTACTGTCAAGAAATTTTAATGAAAATAAGAAAAAATTTTGGAGTGAGTTAAACAAGTTAAGAAAGCCTAGGGAACGAATGGATTTGTCAGCTAAAAACAGAGTAGGGGACTCAGTAGATGGGGAGATGGAGATATTGGGTAGATGGCGGGAATATTTTGAGGAACTTTTAAATGTCGACGAAGAAAGGGAGGCAGTAATTTCATGCATTGGCCAGGGAGATATACCATCTTTTAGGAATAACAAAAAAGGCACAATACCGTGACTGGAACGATACACAAATAATCCGCAAAAGAGAGAAGCTTACAACGACGTTTCGGTCCGACTTGGACCGAAACGTCGTCGCAAGCTTCTCTCTTTTATGTGCGGGTTATTTGTGTATCTTTTAGGAGTGAAGAAGAGCAGGATGTGAGTACGGGGGAGGTGTGTGAGGCATTACGTAGAATGAAAGGGGGTAAAGCAGCTGGAACTGATGGGATCATGACAGAAATGTTAAAAGCAGGGGGGGATATAGTATTTAAGTGGTTGGTATTTTTGTTTAATAAATGTATGAAAGAGGGGAGGGTACCTAGGGATTGGCAGAGAGCATGTATAGTTCCTTTATAAAAAGGGAAGGGGGACAAAAGACATTGTAAAAATTATAGAGGAATTAGTTTACTGAGTATACCAGAAAAAGTGTATGGTAGGGTTATTATTGAAAGAATTAGAGGTAAAAAAGAATGTACGATTGCAGATGAGCAAGGAGGTTTTAGAGTGGGTAGGGGATGTGTAGATCAAGTGTTTACATTAAAGCATATATGTGAACAGTATTTAGATAAAGGTAGGGAAGTTTTCATTGCATTTATGGACTTAAAAAAGGTATATGATAGAGTGGATAGGGGAGCAATGTGGCAGATGTTGCAAGTACATATATGGAATAGCTAGTAAGTTACTAAATGCTGTGAAGAGTTTTTATGAGGATAGTGAGGCTCATGTTAGGGTGTGTAGAAGAGAGGGAGACTATTTCCCAGTAAAAATAGTTCTTAGACAGGGATGTGTAATGTCACCATGGTTGTTTAATATATTTATAGATGAGGTTGTAAAAGAAGTAAATGCTAGTGTGTTCGGGAGAGGGGTGGGATTAAATTATGGGGAATCAAATACACAGTTACTTTTTGCTGATGATACTGTGCTTATGTGAGATTCTAAAGAAAAATTGCAAAGATTAGTGGACGAGTTTGGGAGAGTGTGTAAAGGTAGAAAGTTGAAAGTGAACATAGAAAAGAGTAAGGTGAAGAGGGTAGCAAATGACTTAGATAAAGAAAAATTGGATATCAAATTGGAGAGGAGGTGTATGGAAGAAGTGAATATTTTCAGACATTTGAGAGTTGACGTGTCAGCGGATGGATTTATGAAGGATGAGGTTAATCATAGAATTGATGAAGGAAAAAAGGTGAGTGGTGTGTTGAGGGTTATGTGGAGACAAAAAACGTTATCTATGGAGGCAAAGAAGGGAATGTATGAAAGTATAGTGGTACCAACACTCTTATATGGGTGTGAAGCTTGGGTTGTAAATGCTGCAGCAAGGAGACAGTTGGAGGCAGTGGAGATGTCCTGTCTAAGGGCAATGTGTGGTGTAAATATTATGCTGAAAATTTGGAGTGTGGAAATTAGGAGAAGGTGTGGAGTTAATAAAGGTATTAGTCAGAGGGCGGCTGAAGAGGGGTTGTTGAGGTGGTTTGGTCATTTAGAGAGATTGGATCAAGGTAGAAAGACATGGAGAGCGTATAAATCTGTAGGGAAAGGAAGGCAGGGTAGGGGTCGTCCTCAAAAAGGTTGGAGGAAGGGGATAAAGGAGGATTTGTGGGCGAGGAGCTTGGACTTCCAGTAAGCGTGCGTGAGCGTGTTAGATAAGAGTGAATGGAAACGAATGGTATTTGGGACCTGACAAGCTGTTGGATTCAGGGAAACCGGTTATTTTTATATAGCCGGACTTGAGTCCTGGAAATGGAAAGTACAATGCCTGCACTTTAACCCTTTGACTGTTTTGGTCATATAGTATATACATCTTACGAGCCAGTATTTACATTAATTCTTATGGAAAATATTGCCTCGAATTTAGGCCGTTTCGAATTTAGGCTGACCTTCTGGAATGGAGTACTTCCAATATTCGGGGCTCCACTGTATCATGTTTTTCAGAATTATATAACAAACATACTACATATCATACAAATCTATTACAAACAGCCATAAGGGAGGAAACAGACATAATATTGAGGTATGGTAGCTGCGAGCGCATACTGTAGTCTACGCCGATTATTATAATATTATGCTCTCTCTGACCCACAATCAGTTGAGAAAATGTGTTTATGACTAGGAGTAACTATAGAAGAAGTGTAGAACAACACTCCTTTCGTATGCTTTTATGCGTAAATAGCATTAATCGCTCTTACAGGTGAGGGTGGGAGTGTTGTTAGAAACTCCTGTGGGGCCTGGTGTTACCTCAGATTGGAGTGGAGCGCTTTCGTGCCGCACTGTTTATTGTAATGCATTTATATGATTATCATATACTTTACATGATAATCATTCCCTGACCGGGAATTTGTTTTTTCTCATCATTATAACAAAACAACGTTATTTTAAGACATGTTGCACAGCACAGTACTAGAGCACTAAACATATATTTACAAGCATAGAAGTATTTTATGATAGATTTTTTAACACACTGGCCATCTCCCACCAAGGCAGAGTCACTCAAGCAAGAAGAAATGCTTTCAGAAAATTTTCTTTTTACATTTAGTAATTTACACAGGAGGAGGAGTTACTAGACCCTTGCTCCTGGCATTTTAGTTGCCTATTACGACACTCATGACTTACAGAGGAAGGACTATTCTCCACTTCACTGTGGAGATGTGATAACGATATAGTACATATTAAAACACATGTTCAGTAATATTTATTGCATACACTTAAAGTGAACATCATAATGACCAATATATTCAAGAGTTTTGAATATATGTTGGAGAAAGAGTTTATTCTTTTTCAGGTTATTATGCCTCAGTGGGAGATGGCTGGAGTGTTAAAAATAATAATGCAATCTTTTATAATTTAATAGACGAATATTCTTCAAAATATTGCATCACTTTTGAGAATCAAGTAGTTTTCCAGTGTAGTATAAGTAACTGCACTGCTTATATACATAAGGTTTTTATACTAGACTCAAAGAGAGCACAGTAAGTTATATTACTGTATATTTTAACTGTACTATTAATATGAGATAAGGTTGTAAACAAAGTAAAAAATTAAATTTGTAAACTGTTTTTAACATACAAGGATATACCCTGAACTGTGTCATATAATATGTTCAATACACATGTTAAGCTCACCTGAAATATCTGAATGCGAGTGCCAGCACCAGGAGCATCCAAGTGAATGTCCCGAAAAATCAGTCTGTGGTCCACTATAAACTGTAGAACAAAAGCACATTTGAATCCTGCCTTACTTTTATCATAGCAGTAATCTTGTTTCTCAGGGCCAGGTGGTGTCCTCATGTGAATCAGCGCTGCATCCATAGCCCCCATGACTCCAGGGTAGCCAGAAACATTTTTGATAGCTTCAGCAATTATCAACCTAGTTAATGAATACTTAATTATAATACTACCGTATCACCAAGGCAATATTCAAATTTTTCCATGTATGAAACAAGTGATAAGTATTTGGGAGTTTAAATACAGTTACAGAATGTAATTTAATCGTATTCAAACATAACATGGTACAGTAGCTGAATCCCCACGTTCAGAAGGGTTAGGTTCCTGAAGATCCCTGTGAATTAAAAATTTGCAAATATTGTATCACTAAATTTTGTCTGTATAATTATTTTGTTTTAGATTTGGCCTCATTTTAGTGTTTCAGGGTATATAGTTTTAAACTTCACTCTGACATTCATAAGACAGAATGTCAAAAAAGAATTTTTGTCAAGAAAATCTAAAAAAAAAAGGGCAAATTCCAAAATACAGCCAGATATCATGATGATTTTAATTGCTATAACTGGATGTCTTGTAAGAAGTGGGCATAGCATTCTAGCAAATTAGTAACTCACTGAACTAACTTTTGTTTAACAATGTTCGTCTTCCACCAAGGTAAAGTGACCTAAAGAAGGAAATAATTCACCACTACTCAGTCAATAGCTGTCTTGACAGAAGTGTGCAGACATCACAATTCAAATTACCCTCCAAACAGCAACATACCTACCTGTTTTTCAGAGTGCAAATACTGTACTTCCCACCTCTAGGACTCAAATCTGGCTAAATGAATTCACTGAGTACCTTCATAAATGTTACCTTATTTGCATTCCAACAACACATCAGGTCATACAAACCAACTGTCTCCACTTTAATCAGTACACACACTTGCACAAACCTGCTGCATGCTCAAGCCCCTTTAACTCAAAACTTCCTTTACCCCTTCCCTTCAACTCTTCCTGTTACAGCCCTTACCCCTTCTTCCTTGAATATCAGATTTATACACCCTCTTGGTCATACTATTCTGCTCCATCCTCTCTAAATACCCAAACCACTTCAACAACCCCCTCCTCAGCCCTTTGAATTGTGTCTACAGTATATTGCATCTTTTACTAAATGCCAAATTAACAACACTACCTCTTTAACTAACCTCTCTTCTAGAGCTGGCATGATTATATATGTGTCTTGTTGCCTTATAAGGAAGTCAGCAAAATTGACAACAGTGTTCAGAAAGGAAATGGGCGACATCCTGAATCTGTAAATAAAACATGAAATCACTGTTGTAGGTGATTATATTTATACAACTGTACATTTGCTAAAAGATACCTCGATAGCTCCCTATAGCATTTTTAATCAAAGTGGCCATTTCCCAACAAGGTATTGTGACAAAAAAAAAAAAAATAAGGAAGCCACATTTATCATCACTCATTAAATAGCCGTCATGCTGGAAGTAGGTATGCAGACGTCACAATTCAAAATGGCCCTCGGCATAAGCCAAAAAGTGGTAATTCAAACACACTTGAAGCAGGGTAAACCTTTATTTTATGATGCTTCACCCACATTGGAGTTTTCCCTGATTAAAGTGCCTTGAATTACAGACTCTTCGAACTGCAACATAACCAGTTTTTATGCATTGTTTAGATGAATACCACATTTTCGTGCACACAAATTTACCAAACTTGACTATCATCTTCAAAGCATTCCTCTCCTACCTTCATTTATTGAAATATACTGTCTACATCACTCTCATTCTTTTATTCAACATTAACATGCTTTCATTACACAAAGTCACAAATCTTATAAACCACAAATGCTTTGCACCACTTATCTTTTTATTACAAATATTCTTTATTTTTAATATCAAATGTTCTTCAAACTATGTTATAACTGGAAGATTTCTTCCTCATGCCGCTCAATAGTTTCACACTTACCTCTAGTTTAATTTTATCCATGCCTTTCAAGTTATCAGCTACTTATTTTCTGCGACACTATTCTCATCTTCAGTCAAACAAATCACTTTATTATCAAAAACACATTTAAGGCAATTAATTTCATTATAGTAGAGTATTTCACCATTCACACCAATATCAAATAGAAGCCTTTTTTAGATATGCAGGGAAAAAGCACACCTTTCAGATGCTGGGGCCACATTTTCTGATGAGCCCAAATAGTACAGAGCAGCCAAAACATGCTGCTGATACTGGTCCAATTCAGAGACTGGCACTCCTTCTAGCTTTAGACTTTCTGCCACTTCCTTCTGCCACTCTCTTACCAGGAACTTGGAATAAAAGAAAAATTTTCACATGAAATAATACAATGCTTGCCTATAATGTATGCAAAATGCACAAAATATTTTTGGAAGGTCTGTATTTCAAGTTCTTGTTGACAGTAACAGGAAACTCCAGGTTCTGACAAGTCTAAGAAAATGGTAAAATTCTTACTATACCTGTACATGTTACAGTAATACAAGTCACAAATTGTATTCTTTGCTTTATCCTGCTGCTGAAGACTCCAGTTAATTAGAAAAGATAACATATGCATGGAGAGCGTATAAATCTGTAGGGAAAGGAAGGCGGGGTAGGGGTCATCCTCGAAAAGGTTGGAGGGAGGGGGGTAAAGGAGGTTTTGTGGGTGAGGGGCTTGGATTTCCAGCAAGCATGCGTGAGCATGTTAGATAAGAGTGAATGGAGACGAATGGTATTTGGGACCTGACGAGCTGTTGGAGTGTGAGCAGGGTAATATTTAGTGAAGGGATTCAGGGAAACCGGTTATTTTTATATAGCCGGACTTGAGCCCTGGAAATGGGAAGTACAATGCCTGCACTTTAACCCTTTGACTGTTTTGGTTGTACAGTGGACCCCCGGTTAACGAACTTTTTTCATTCCAGTAGTATGTTCAGGTGCCAGTACTGACCGAATTTTTTCCCATAAGGAATATTGTGAAGTAGATTAGTCCATTTCAGACCCCCAAACATACACGTACAAACGCACTTACATAAATACACTTACATAATTGGTCGCATTTGGAGGTGATCGTTAAGCGGGGGTCAACTGTATATATGTAAGTCTTACGAGCCAGTGTTTCGGACGTACATCTACTCAATAATTCTAGCGGCTTCAAATCAAGCAGGAGAAAGCTGGTAGGCCCACAGGTGAGAGAATGGGTCTGTGTGGTCAGTGTGCACCGCATAAAAAAAATTCCTGCAGCACGCAGTGCATAATGAAAAAAAAAACTGACCATTTTTTGGATTAAAACGCCGACTTTGAGGTGTATTTTCTTATAGTATTTATCGTTGTATTCTCATTTTCATGGTCTCGTGTGATAAAATGGAAAACATATTGCAGAAACAGAGATGATTTTGATTAGTTTCACGATAAAAACGACCTTGAAATTGAGCTCAAAGTAGCAGAAATGTTTGATTTTTACCAATGTTCAAGAGTAAGCAGATCACACCACACGTCCAATACACATCAACTGGGGAGTCTAATATTCTTTCACTAGTGCACTGATACTATTTATACCATTTTTACAATAATGCAGTAGTCTGCATAACAGTAAATTTTGTATTTTTTTTTTTTAACCCGTAAACGGTCCAAGCAGATCTACGTTTTTTTTTACATATTTTCAAATATAACAAAAAAAAAAGTATATCAAAGTTTTTTTACACATTTTCAAATGTAAAAAAACAAAAAGAAGATCTACTTTTTTTACATACTTTCAAATGTTGAAAAAACACACATATACGTTTGGACCGTTTACGGGTTAAACAAGTCAGCCTTCTCCCCCTGAGGCAGGGTGACCCAAAGAGAAAGAAAATCCCCGAAAAGAAAATACTTTCATCATTCAATACTTTCACCTCACTCACACATAATCACTGTTTTTGCAGAGGTGCTCAGAACACAACAGTTTAGAAGCATATACATGTACGTATATAGACACACAATATATCCCTCCAAACTGCCAATATCCCAAACCCCTCCTCTAGAGTGCAGGCATTGTACTTCCCTTTTCCAGGACTCAAGTCCGGCTATATAAAAATAACTGGTTTCCCTGAATCCCTTCACTAAATATTACCCTGCTCACACCCCAACAGATCGTCATGTCCCAAATACCATTCGTCTCCATTCACTCCTATCGAACACGCTCGTGCACGCCTGCTGGAAGTCCAAGCCCCTCACCCACAAAACGTCATTTACCCCTTCCTTCCAACCTTTTTGAGGACAACCCCTACCCCGCCTTCCTTCCCCTACAGATTTAAATGCTCTCCATGTCATTCTACTTTGATCTATTCTCTCTAAATGACCAAACCACCTCAACAACCCCTCTTCAGCCCTCTAATACTTTTATTAACTCCACACCTTCTAATTTCCACACTTCGAATTTTCTGCATAATATTTACACCACACATTGCCCTTAGACAGGACATCTCCACTGCCTCCAACCACCTCCTTGCTGCTGCATTCACAACCCAAGCTTCACACCCATATAAGAGTGTTGGTACTACTATACTTTCGTACATTCCCTTCTTTGCCTACATAGATAATGTTTTTTGTCTCCACATATATGTCAATGCACCACTCACCTTTTTTCCCTCATCAAATCTATGATTAACCTCATCCTTCATAAATCCATCCGCCGACACGTCAACTCCCAAGTATCTGAAAACATTCACTTCTTCCATACTCCTCCTCCCCAATTTGGTATCAAATTTTTCTTTATCTAAATCATTTGATACCCTCATCACCTCACTCTTGTCTATGTTCACTTTCAACTTCCTACCTTTACACACACCCCCTAACTCATCCACTAACCTTTGCAATTTTTCTTTAGAATCTCCCATAAGCACAGTATCATCAGCAAAAAGCAAATGTGTCAATTCCCATTTTGTATTTGATTCCCCATAATTTAATCCAACCCCTCTCCCGAACACCCTAGCATTTACTGTACTTCTTTTACAACCCCATCTATAAATATATTAAACAACCATGGTGACAATACACATCCCTGTCTATGACCTACTTTTACCGGGAAGTAGTCACTCTCTCTTCTACACACTCTAACCTGAGCCTCACTATCCTCATAAAAACTCTTTACAGCATTTAGTACCTTTCAGACAGATCCTTCATAAAATTATTGAGGCAAAGATCCAGATGGGAGATGTCATGAAGGATGCTGCATTTTCACTGGCAGAAGCAAAGTTTGCATCAGGTATTGATTTTAACCAGAGTGTGATCCAGAATGTGATCAAGGCCCATATTAAGACCAGAAGTAAATTGGACAATATTGCTGGTGTTCATCTTGTATTTGAAAGCTTTGAAGATGGAATTGATACATATGAGTTGACTGGACTGTCCCGTGGTGGTCAGCAGATGGGAAAGCTCAAGATGAATTACAAACGTGCTATTGAGTTGCTGATTGAGCTAGCCACACTCCAGGCTTCATTTGTAATTCTCGACATTGCAGTCAAGACGATTTACCGCCGAGTAAATGCCATAGAACATGGTAAGAATATAATATATGGTTTAAGTTAATAAGCTTTAGTAATTATGCATGTCAGAAATAAGATAAAAAGTATTGTGTGGAAGAAAATTGACTTAGTGATTATGAATGGTTTGAGTGTTACTACATGTGTATTACAGATTACATGGCAGAATATTTTTTCTTTAGCCTGAAGTATAGGAGTAAAACATGAACATGCAATGACATGTGCATGTCTAAAAAAAATTATGGCAGTAGTAGGATGGCAGACCATACAGAGATTTAAATTTGTTGGCTATAAAACAAATTCCAACCACACAATTGAGCGAAAAACTTATGTAAAAGACCTGGGAGTGATAATGTTGGAAGATCTCACCTTCAAAGACCATAAAATTGTATCAATCACATCTACTAAGAAACTGACAGGATGGATAATGAGAACCTTCAAAACTAGGGATGCCAAGCCAATGATGACATTCTTCAGGTCACTTGTTCTACCTAGGCTGAAATATTGCTGCACACTAACAACACCTTTCAAGGAAGGTGAAATTGCTGACCTAGAAAATGTACGGAGAACCTTCACGGCACATATAACTGTGATAAAACACCTCAATTACTGGGAATGCTTGAAGTTCCTAAACCTGTACTTCCTAGAATGCAGGTGGGAGAGATATATGATCATTACCAACAGACCCCTGGCAGTCTTCAAGCTGGCACTGGACAAGCACCTAAAGTCAGTTCCTGACCAGCCGGGCTGTGGCTCGTACGTTGGTTTGGGTGCAGCCAGCAGTAACAGCCTGGTTGATCAGGCTCTGATCCACCAGGAGGCCTGGTCACAGACCGGGCCGCGGGGGCGTTGACCCCCGGAACTCTCCCCAGGTAAACTCCAGGTTACCACCTATTCCATATACTTGCAACATCTGCCACATTGATCCCCTATCCACTCTATCATATGCCTTTTCTAAATCCATAAATGCAATAAAAAGTTCCCTACCTTTATCTAAATGCTGTTCACATATATGCTTCAATGTAAACACTTGATCTACACATCTCCTACCCACTCTGATACCTCCTTGCTCATCCGCAATCCTACATTCTGTCTTACCTCCAATTCTTTCAGTTATAACCCTACCGTACACTTTTTCTGGTATACTCAGTAAACTTATTCCTCTATAATTTTTACAATCTCTTTTGTTCCCCTTCCCTTTATATAAAGGGACTATACATGCTCTCCACCAATCCCTAGGTACCTTCCCCTCTTTCATACATTTATTAAACAAAAATACCAACCACTCCAACACTATATCCCCCCCTGATTTTAACATTTCTGTCATGATCCCATCAGTTCCAGCTGCTTTACCCCCTTTCATTCTACGTAATGCCTCATGCACCTCACCCACACTCACATCCTGTTCTTCACTCCTAAAAGATGGTATTTTTTGTATGAACAAAAAATCAAAATAGAAAGCTATAGTAATATAAGAGGGGCCTAGAGACATGACTAATGAAAAGAGGATATGTTATTTTTGTGCCAAGAATGTCTACATTGTTTATTCCTGACCCTATTGTGAAATTGGCATCTTTTTTAATCTGCGTGAAATTGGCCAAATTGCCAATTTCTGACCACTTTATTGGGTAGTTCATATCAGTAAATGGGCGGTTTCTTGTACTCAATTGATAGAAAAAATGGAGTTCTAAAGAAATAGCTATGAGTTTGGTCAACTGGAACAACGGAATTGGCCAAAAACAGGGCTCAAAGTCAGTGACATCGCCGATGCGTATATGTCGCCGAGACCGCTAACTTCACGGGAGCGTAATTCTGTGAGTTTTTGACCAAATGTCATACTTTTGTTGTCACTACCATCGGGAAAAGATTCTCTATTATTTCATAAGAAAAAAATAATTTTTTTTTTCCAAAAATTTTGTGACATAGAATGACAGTTTCAGAAAGGGGCTTGCGACAGTCAAAGAGTTAAAGGAGGGGTTCGGGATACTGGGAGTTTGGAGGGATATGTTGCGTAGATTTCATTAAGTCTAAGGGAGGGATCCCAATCATATGTAGCATCTTGCCTAGAAGGGGAGTAGGAAATGAATGGTTGTCTAGGGCAATTGGTGTAAATTGCTGGCTAGACAGATACTGCAAGGAACTTGCAATCCCATTCATTGACAACTGGAACAACTTTTATGGCAAACATGATATGTATGCAAGGGATGGGGTTCATCTCTCTGGGGCAGGGGTGGTAGCACTTGCAGACTCGATTGAGAAGGCCATTGGTGAAATGCCTATGATTTTAAACTGATGGAAGATAGAGGTATGGGTGTGTGTGGGAAACAAGCAGGTTGCAACACTAGGGTTGGAAACAGTAAATGTATAAAAGGCATTCAGCATGAAGTTATAAATAAAGACAATAGAACAGGTCAGCAAACAAAGGGGGACAGCAGAGGGCAGCAAGGGACTAGCTCCCTTAAGGTTTACTATACTAATAGCAGGAGTGTTAGAAATAAGATAGATGAGCTAAGATTAATTGCAAGTGCAGGAAACATAGATATTATTGCTATAACAGAGACCTGGCTCAATCTGAAAGATAGAGAGATGCCCTCTGAATGTCACATACAAGGCTATAAATTATTCCACACTGACAGGGTCAACAGGAAAGGTGGTGGAGTAGCGATGTATGTCAGAGACAATTTAAATTGTTGTGTTAGACAAGATATTAAATTAGAAGCGTCAGCCACTGAATCTGTTTGGTTACAGCTTCTCGAGGGCCGAGAAAAACTAATTTTGGGTGTGATTTACAGGGCCCCAAATCTTGATAGGGAGTGCAGTAAACTTCTATGGACGAAATTCGTAAGGCATCTACATACGAAAATGTTGTGCTAATGGGAGATTTCAACTATAGACAGATTGACTGGAGCAATTTGACAGGAAATTTAGAGTCGGGTGACTTTCTTGATACGATCCAGGATTGTTTTTTAAAACAGTTTGTGACAGAGCCAACTAGGGGAAATAACCTCCTTGACTTGGTTCTTGCCAGTAGGGAAACACTAATTAATAATCTTGAGGTTAATGATGAGCTTGGGGAGAGTGATCACAAATCACTCAGTTTTAACATATCATGGAATTCCCCTAATAATGGCAATCAAGTCTCCGTCCCTGACTTTCGCTTGGCTGATTTCATAGGACTGAAAAATTACTTAGGTGGGCTGAACTGGAATGACCTGACTAGGGGTCAGGTAGGTGGTGATGGTTGCCGATATGATGCTTTCCAGGGCATAGTTCTAGCTGCTCAGTCAAATTATGTTCCAAATAGGGAAATCAGATCAAACAAAAATGATCCTAAATGGATGAACAATAGATTAAAATATCTGATTGGTCAAAAGAGAGGCATATATAGGCAAATCAAAAGAGGAGAGGGGCAATTAAGAAATCGATATATTCAGTTAAAGAGAGAAATAAAAAAGGGAATTAGAAAAGCAAATAGAGATTATGAGGTTAAAGTTGCAAGAGAATCGAAGACTAACCCAAAAGGATTCTTTCAGGTATACAGAAGTAAGATCAGGGACAAGATAGGCCCACTCAAAAGTTCCTCGGGTCAGCTCACTGACAGTGATAAGGAAATGTGTAGAATTTTTAACACATACTTCCTCTCAGTTTTTACACAGGAGGATACCAGCGATATTCCAGTAATGATAAATTATGTAGAACAGGACGATAATAAACTGTGCACTATTAGGGTCACAAGTGACATGGTCCTTAGGCAAATAGATAAATTAAAACCTAACAAATCCCCAGGCCCTGATGAACTGTATGCAAGGGTTCTAAAGGAATGTAAAGAGGAGCTTAGCACACCTTTGGCTAATCTTTTCAACATATCACTACAAACTGGCATGGTGCCAGATAAGTGGAAAATGGCAAATGTGATACCTATTTTCAAAACAGGTGACAGGTCCTTAGCTTCGAACTATAGACCAATAAGCCTAACCTCCATAGTGGGAAAATTTATGGAATCAATAATTGCCGAGGCAGTTCGTAGCCACCTTGAAAAGCATAAATTAATCAACGAATCTCAGCATGGTTTTACAAAGGGGCGTTCCTGCCTTACGAATTTATTAACTTTTTTCACTAAGGTATTTGAGGAGGTAGATCATGGTAATGAATATGATATTGTGTATATGGACTTCAGTAAGGCTTTTGACAGGGTCCCACATCAGAGACTATTGAGGAAAATTAAAGCACATGGAATAGGAGGAGAAATTTTTTCCTGGATAGAGGCATGGTTGACAAATAGGCAGCAGAGAGTTTGCATAAATGGGGAGAAATCAGAGTGGGGAAGCGTCACGAGCGGTGTTCCACAGGGGTCAGTGTTGGGCCCCCTGCTGTTCACAATCTACATAAACGACATAGATGAGGGCATAAAGAGCGACATCGGCAAGTTTGCCGATGACACCAAAATAGGCCGTCGAATTCATTCTGACGAGGACATTCGAGCACTCCAGGAAGATTTGAATAGACTGATGCAGTGGTCGGAGAAGTGGCAGATGCAGTTTAATATAGACAAATGCAAAGTTCTAAATGTTGGACAGGACAATAACCATGCCACATATAAACTAAATAATGTAGATCTTAATATTACGGATTGCGAAAAAGATTTAGGAGTTCTGGTTAGCAGTAATCTGAAACCAAGACAACAGTGCATAAGTGTTCGCAATAAAGCTAATAGAATCCTTGGCTTCATATCAAGAAGCATAAATAATAGGAGTCCTCAGGTTGTTCTTCAACTCTATACATCCTTGGTTAGGCCTCATTTAGATTATGCTGCACAGTTTTGGTCACCGTATTACAGAATGGATATAAATTCTCTGGAAAATGTACAAAGGAGGATGACAAAGATGATCCCATGTATCAGAAACCTTCCCTATGAGGATAGACTAAGGGCCCTGAAACTGCACTCTCTAGAAAGACGTAGAATTAGGGGGGATATGATTGAGGTTTATAAGTGGAAGACAGGAATAAATAAAGGGGATGTAAATAGTGTGCTGAAAATATCTAGCCTAGACAGGACTCGCAGCAATGGTTTTAAGTTGGAAAAATTCAGATTCAGGAGGGATATAGGAAAGTACTGGTTTGGTAATAGAGTTGTGGATGAGTGGAACAAACTCCCAAGTACCGTTATAGAGGCCAGAACGTTGTGTAGCTTTAAAAATAGGTTGGATAAATACATGAGTAGATGTGGGTGGGTGTGAGTTGGACCTGATAGCTTGTGCTAACAGGTCGGTTGCCGTGTTCCTCCCTTAAGTCAATGTGACCTGACCTGACTAGGTTGGGTGCATTGGCTTAAGCCGGTAGGGACTTGGACCTGCCTCGCATGGGCCAGTAGGCCTTCTGCAGTGTTCCTTCGTTCTTATGTTCTTCTTCTTATGTTCTTATGTATCTTTATACGTATATGCTTCTAAACTGTTGTATTCTGAGCACTTCTGCAAAAACAGTGATTATGTGTAAGTGAGGTGAAAGTGTTGAATGATGATGAAAGTATTTTCTTTTTGGGGATTTTCTTTCTTTTTGGGTCACCCTGCCTCGGTGGGAGACGACCGACTTGTTAAAAAAAAAAAAAAAAAATATCCTGTCCCTACATTTTTATAAAAAAAAAAAAAGATCAAGAGGTAACCTTTCTACTGCATTTCTTCCTAAATGTAATCTGCACTTTTTGGCTATATCTTGTCTGCAGTACAGCTTATTTTAGAAAAAAAAATCACATTTGACAGAATACTATATCTGATAGGTTATCACTGTTTTATTATTTCTATTTCTTTATTTGAAATCATGTGAAGGTCGAAGTATATACAGGACTTTAACCAGTGCTTATTGGATTATGTCATGTGCTTGAGGTAGTAGTCAAGTGATCCCCAGAAGCATTTTCATGATTGAATCAAGCCAGGTAGATCCTTAAGCATATGAGACAAGGATACATGGTTGTAGAAAGTGACTATGAGAAATATGATAGTTATAGGAATACAGTACATGAAAGACAGCGACATGGTTTCACATGCATATACGTACTTAGAGGAAAGATATTTTCAGAAATGTCCAGAACAAAATGAAAAAGTGGAAGAGAATACTATGCAGATCCATCTTAAATTCAAATTTCGATAGAAAACAAAGAGACATAACTGGTATACATGTATACTGTAAATATAAAAAAAAATGACATCAATTCCATTTGCTCACAATTATAGTAGAGTACAATATTTGATAAGGAGATAAAAATTCATTACCATATTGAAGTATTTCTTAAAATTTTTGAGATCAATTAAAAAATTTACAGTAAAAAACAATTACCTGATACACAGATTTTGTAACTCTAAAAGTGTGAAGGAAATCTGTGTCACTTAATTCAGCTTCCTGGGTAAGAAGTTCAGGTAATTCTGTCTTGGTAATAACTTTTACCTTCTGAGCTCTTCGTTGTTTTCTCTTAATCTAAAAAAAAAAAAAAATAAATAAATAAATATAAAACCAATCACATATATTATACTAAGAATTTATCATTAGAATTACAGTTTCCTGTGTATTTGAATTTACAATACTACTTTTAAATAATGCTTCAGGTAAATGCAAAGGTTACCAGTACCACTCATACTGCCCAAACACATTCCCCTTATGACCTACAGGAGGAAACAGAGGAATAACACTTCTCAATCTGATATTCACAAGAACTCAGAACATTTTTCAACTGTAATAAAAGTAATCTAATTGCAATACCACTAGTACACTGTAATACTTTTTTTTTAAATTTCACTGTGTGGTGTGAATATTATGTAGAGAATTCAGAAAGTAGAAATTAAAAGTTGATATGGGTTGATGTTTTAGGTAGTACACCTACCATCCGAGTTACGACCGAGTTCCGTTCCGAGAAACTGGTCATAAGTCAAAATGGTCGTAAGTCAAACTTTACTACTGAATATCAACATAACATTTTTGTAATGGCTTTATTTTATTGTTTTATTTTGGTATTTCATGTTTCACTTTACTTTTTATGCTGTTAGTACTGTATTTTATACTGTAAGGTTTAGGATAAACACTGTACAACACAAACACTTGTTTATTTCCCAGAAATTTGGCATAAAAAACACGGTCGTAAGTCGAGTCGTCGTAAGTCGAGCAGGTCGTAAGTCGGATGGTAGGTGTAGGTTGGTTGAAAGCAGCTGCCCAAGGAGGTATTACCGTCCTGCAAAGTGAGTGTAAAACAGAAGCCTGTAATTGTTTTACATGATGGTAAGATTATTGGTGTCTTTATTCTGTTTCATAAACATGCAAGATTTCAGGTACACGTCTTGCTACTTCTACTTGCACTTAGGTCACACTACACTTGGATGTACAAGCGTATATATACACACCCCTCTGGGCTTTCTTCCATTTTCTTACTAGTTCTTGTTCTTGTTTATTTCCTCTTATCTCCATGGGAAAGTGGAACAGAATTCTTCCTCCGTAAGCCATGTGTGACTTAAGAGGCGACTAAAATGCTGGGAGCAAGGGATTAGTAACCCCCTTCTCCTGTATACAATACTAAAGTTAAAAAAGAGAAACTTTTGTTTTTCTTGTTGGGCCACCCTGCTTCAGTGGAATACGGCCGGTTGGTTGAAAGAAGAAGATAGGTTGATGTGGATTGAAAAAACTCCTGGTGAATGAAACTTCCAATGAAGTTTCCTAAAGCTGCACATGTGTCTTTCTGATACATCTAACATGAATCAACACATTAATATTATGTTAATACCTTTAAGAATTTTATCATTATCCTCTTCATCACCATCAGGTTCTGAAATCTTTTCTTTTATAAGATAAAATGAGCTTTTGGAAGACCGACAGACCAGGGTGAGCCATCTGTATAAAGCACACATGGGTTTTGAAAGAGATTGGGAAAGGAAATATGCAAAATACAGTAAGTCCTTGGTTTTAACAAACCTTGATTTAACAAACTTTGGAAATATAGAACTGAATGATCTAGGTCAAGTGACTGGGAAATAATGTACAGTACAAAGTCCATTGGTTAAAGAATTCTCCATTATTGTCATGATGGTGGTAAAACAGTCTTGTCTCTATCCATCACAATTCCCATTACTGGCCACCTGCTATGCTACCCCTACTAGAACATTAAATTGAGATTTTGCTGTCATCTCTCTAGCTTAAATATCTCAAAAACCTTTACATACTGCAACACAGCCCAAACCTTAGAATTTCAAGACCTTTATTTTATGTGGAACCAAATAACTCAGCTAGATATATTCTTAAGCCATAGAATGCCTCAAGTGTTAAAATTTTATGCTAAAAATCTAATTCATATTTCATCTCTACAATCACAACAGTACTTACATCATTAGGCACAGGGTGGTTGTGGTCAGTTAACATAGGAAATCTGACAAGGTACAAAATCTCCATTTGGATCCCTGTTTCACTCTGCGCTTCTTGTAGCATTGTCTTCTTCATTTTGTCTTTGTGTCTCTTAGAAGGTTCACTATCTGTTGACACCTATAAGACATCAAGAAGATACCAAAATATATAGCATAATGATAGCAGTGTAATACTAAGTATCCATTTGAGGTGGGAACATACAAAAAATGACATTTATACCAACTGACAAAAATACAACTACTGTATATGTCTGACTGTAAGGATAGAAATTGCAACTACAAAAATTTCTCCATAGAGATATTAAATATTTGACACAGGAGAGAATTTTTACCTTGTATCCTGGAAACTTGACTAGTTTGTGAGCATATATCATTGCAGTACAGCCGATCTTCTTTGATATAGGTGGTGTTCGTCGTTTAATCTGTGGATGACCTTCTTGCTGAAATTGAGGATTACCATTATACACTACTAGCTTGCATCTAATACGGCTTTCTAAAAATTAGTACTGTCGACTGTAATTCTCCCAATCTCACATTCATCTTTATTACAATTATTACTAAAGCAGTATATTCTTAGTCTTAACTTATAATAGCCAGTGCAATACTCTCAATAGAGGTCACATTTGTTTAATTTGATAAAGAACACAAATTAAGTACAGCATTAAAACAGTACATGGACATTTTCTTAAAATTCTTAGATTTAAAACTGGGCCAACAGTTTAAAAGAAGTCTAACATCGATATCTGGAAGAAGGATAAGTTCAGTGAGAAAGTTGTCCCATTTCTTTAATGACGAGGTTAAACCTCTGGAACAATTCTGTCACAAGAACGACACAAACAGCATTAAAATTGATCTACCTCTAACCTATCCCGCTTTTCTCTATACTTCTCTTTTTTTCTCTTGCCGAAATCTGGTCCTTGGTGACACCGCCATGACTTTACACCTCCAAACATGAATGGGACACCATCAAATGGAATCTTGGCCTGATCATTTCTCCAATATAATCGACTCTTCTCCCAAATGTTTGGTCTCCAGTCTGAAATCAGTACAGTATATATTGTATATTTGTCTCTCTAATAAGAAAAGACCAATGGGGAAAGAAACTCTTCTGATGGCGAATTCATATATTTTTTAAGTTTCTATTAAATAAGCCCTCAAATGTGAGGAAGACTAAAAATTTCAAAACACATACAATATAGATCTTTACTTTCAAAAATATATATGATACATTATACTGGTGTGTAACAAGAAAAAAATTACATTAAACAACTTTTACAAAATCCTTAGATTATAAAACATTCCATGCTGAGCAATAATCACATCTGAGCAATACCAGATGTAAAACATCCACAGGGTGGGGGAGTTGAATGACAGCTCTATGCCTTTTGTGTTACAGTCAACACCTTGTCAAGAGCTTGCAATAGTGAAATAGAAATGGAGATCAGCCCAGGTAGGTGTGTCTATGAAGACATTCTACAAAGAAAGAGAGGCACCCAAGTCCACCCAGCCTGACTAACAGTCAGATGTCAGATGCCAAATGTTCAAGGAGGTATTTTAAGCAGCAGCTCATAAGTGCAGTAGGTGTGGTAATAAATGGGAGAATATATCGTTACAAGGAACAAAAAACTTATTTCTCTTGAGTGCATGTATGGCATTATTTTATGTAAGTTCTGAAAATTTCCTCACAAAGTAGCCTCTGGTATCTGATGGTTAGTCAGGGTGGGTGGATTTGGCAATTCTCTTCCTGTGTAGGATGTCTTCATATACACACCTACCTGAGCTGACCGGTATTTCACTACTCAAAGCTCTTGAAAAAGTGTTAACTGCAGCATGAAAGGCCTAGAGCTATCATTCAACTCCCCCACTCTGTGGCTATTTTCATACTTTTTTTTAACACACAGGCCGTATCCCACCATGGCAGGGTGACCAGCCCCTTGCTCCCAGTATTTTAGTTGCCTCTTACAACACACATGGCTTACAGAGGAAGAATTCTTTTCCACTTCCCCAATGAGTTTGCATACCTTACTGTATATAACAAAATACAATGATCAAGATTATACACTGATGTGGGGTAAGACTAAATCAAGTGTTAAATATAATATATAAGAGCCATCACTTTTACTATTGTAGTAACTTTACACAAAATTTATAATCAAGTTAATTCAGACCAGAAACAGTTATACACATGGACTATAAGAGAGGTTCAAGTATTTATTTTTTGCATGATGCCCATAGGTTCTCTTGCAGCTCTATGAAAAGTCTGAAGCCCGAGTAAATCTTTCCTGTACAAAGGACCTGAATAGATAATGCAAAAAAGATATCTACAATCAATAGGGGCAATAAAAAATAATGTGATTACCTGGTATTTTTTTAAAATCTGACACAACCTCTCCCCATCTCCAGATAACTGATAAATTACTGTATGGCACTTATGTTTAGTAGGCTCAGAAATCTGCATAAAGGTGTGCATTTTTAAAGTTAGAATATGTATGGTTCTGATGGCTGATTTCTGTGTGATAATTGGTTTGAGATACTTTTAGTGTGCTGCTGTTGATTCCCATGCATAAATACTGTATGCAAGATTTGGACTGATAAGTGTTAAGTATAGGGTAATCAGTGTAGAGCAGTATACATAATAGCAAACCTTTTAAATTATACCTACTGTTGTCTAGATTCTGAAGGCCTAGAAGTTTACTTTCTTCTTGTCTTCCTACTTGGATGGCAAACATTCTATTACTTAACTGGTTTCTAAATAGTATATAGATTTTCACATACAGTATTATGGGTGAATTTGAAAGTTATCTAAATGCAGACAAATATTTAGATTCTTTAATCTGCCACTGAGGCAGTTAGGGCCAGTGTTTTGGAAAAAAACAAAAAAAAACAAATGCGGTGTCATCTCAAAATTATTATACGTATTGTACAGTATATACATGTACTGTAACAGACTACATAAAACAATATAGTGTTAAAGAATTAGGTAACAGAAAACCAACCCTGGTGTGAGGGGTTCATGACAAAATAAGCTATATACTATCAAGAAGATAAGGTTGCAGCATGCAGGAGTGTAACTGAGGGAATATTTTGCATGTGTACATATGTACATAAGAGTCTGAAGCCCAAGTGCATCTAGGTTACTGATTAGTGAATTGGTAGTAGCAACTGGAGTAACCTGACACCTAATTCCCTATGATAAACAGCATGATAGGGTGGGATGAGCTATAATAGGCATATGACAGATGTATTAGATATCCAAGTATGTCATATAAATGACCTCTATCACTAACCTGACACCTAATTCCCTATAATAAACAGCATGATAGGGTGGGATGAGCTATAATAGGCATATGACAGATGTATTAGATATCCAAGTATGTCATATAAATGACCTCTATCACTGTTACCATTTAACACTGAACTAGATGAAGTGCACAGTAACTGTGACAAGAATTAAACTATTGGGCAATGATAAAACCAAATTCGAATACAGCATTTTAAATGCTGAGGTCTCCATTTAGTAGACCCTTCAATAGGGTGCCTTCATGATAGTGAAAGACTCTTAATCCAAGAACGTGAAGTTACTCCTCCCTTCCTCAGATTAATGCTGATTGACTCCCATTTCACAGGTGCTGTATGACTCCTATGGGTTTAGTGCTTCCCCTTAATAATAATAATTGGTGTGCCAAAGAAATGGTATCAGTACTGGCTAATTTTGGCAGTACTGTATAGGAATCAGTACTGCTAATTTTTATGGTATCAGTATCAGCTTAAAATTGAGTGAGATTAAGACACATGTGCAACATCTGGGTATCTTTATTGTAGATGTTTCGCCATCCAGTGGCTTTATCAATACAAATTCTAGGACATAACTTGAAGACAGTAGAACTATGTACAGAAGATGAGGTAATTGAGTATCGGTATTGGCAAAATTTTGGTACTGTCTTATCCCTAATAATAATAACACACTTCATACATTCACTACAATAAATACATTGCCAAAACTATTAGAAATTATAGTTTTAGAATACAGTATAAAACAATGGAAGATGTAATCTCAAATTAAAAGGTATCCTCAAACAAATAAATTAGTGTATTATTATATCCCACACATGAAAAATATTAAATCTATAAGGGTCATTCAGTGTTGCTCAGATGAGGCAACAGAAATGATTTTAGTATTATTAGACTACTGAAGCTATTTCACCAGCAGCCAGGTGCCCAAAGGTAAACAGATATTAAACTATGCTGCCAGACATGCCACATTCAATTATTTTTAATTTGTTTACTTGTGGTTAAATGTCAACTGGTTACTACCTAATTCCCATGTAAACAGCCACTGACAAATCCAACTGATGGGTGAAGAGATACTTCCTTATTATTATACTCATGGGGAAGTGCTAATAAAATAGGAAGAGGCATTCGGGTCTGACAAAGGAAGTTAAGGTCACTTCCAATTTCTTGAATCAAGAGCCCTCCACTGGCATCAAGGACAGATAAAAAAAAAGTGACTGTAGAAGAAGGGGGTGGAACTACTGAAGGACAGACAATCAGCAGAAAGGATGAAGGTCAAAGTTGATTTAGCAACTGGGGATCAAAGAAAGTCTACAATAAAAGTGGGATCATCAGAGAAAAGGACAGATACGGTAAGAACAAAGGCTTGCAAAATGAAACTGGCTTGCTCTCTGATGAGTGGAACAATCTGTCTAGGAATAATGGACAGTCAGGACAGCACTCGTGAACAGAACAATTAATCAAGAGATGCTAGACTGTCAAGATGACATTCTGATGAACTGTACAGTCAATCATGAGACTATCATGAGATGCTGGACTGGCAGGGCAGCACTAGGATGACTGGAACAATCACTCAAGAGATGCTGGATTGTCAGGACGGCCTGATAATAATAATAATAATCTTTATTTCTACAAGCACATACAACTCATACAGACCTAGCTGACTTCAATGGCATACTATATAGGAAGCCCCTTGTTATGCAGAGCATTTTGGGCAAATTAGGTAAATTTTATCCCCAGGATGCAACCCACACTAGTCAGCTAACACTCAAGTACCTGTCTACTGCTAGGTGAACAGGGACAGCAGATGTCTTAAGGAAATACATCCTGTTTCTATCCATACCGGGGATCGAACCACAGACCTCAATGTGTGAGCTGAGTGCTGCATACCACTCAGTGCTCACCTATACCACTCAGCTTAAGAGGATCAAGTGTCCAGGAACTTACTTTCGTCTCCAAAATGTGAAGTACAACAATCTAGGCAGTACTTGGTCATTGTACTCTCTTGAAACTTTTTTAGACACTCGTATACCTCCTTAGCTGTGTGGAATATTTTATACTGCTCTTCTGTCATTTCTTCTTTTTTTCTTCTTCACTGTACTTCATGTACATGAAATTTTTTTTCTCCCATTTCTTCTTTTTTCTACTTCACAATGCATGCATTGTATCTAGAGGTTTCTTCTAATAACATTCTCCAACTTCGTATATTCAACCTTTGTTTTGTTTACATTTTGCTGCTAAAACTTTAAAAATTAAGGGAATCCGGATTCCAAGGCGTCAAGAAATCCGGCTTCGGATTCCTAGGATATACATGATTATCCCTGTTTTTAGTGTTGTATTAGAAGCTTAAGATTACTCGGATTTTTAACCCCGGAGGGCTAGCCACCCAGGATAACCCAAAAATTCAGTATGTTATCGAGGATTGTCTGTCTATCTTACTTACTAAAGGACCCCAATGGAAATAAATAACTGACTTTTTTGGGGGTTATCCTAGCTAGGTTCTTTACACACATGCTGCTATATTTGTGTATACCTGAACAAACTTATTATTTTGTCTTCCAGGATGCGACCCACACCGGTCGGCTAACACCCAGGCACCAATTTGCTTGGTAGGTGATCAGGACAGTAGGTAAGGAAACACGCCCAATGTTTCCACCCTTGACGGGGATCGAGCTATGGACACTCAATGTGTGAAACGAATGTTGTCTACCAGCCCACGGGCCACATTATATACTGGTGCCTCTA